GCGGGGGATTCAAGTCCGAATACGGCGTCACTTCGGCCCTCGTCCCCTTCTGCACTTTCTTTCTCGTCATCTCTCTCTGAAACAACTGGTCCGTAGTCGATGCTGCTACCCGTCTGGTGCGACGAGGAACCACCGTTGCCAGTGGCCTCGTACTATGCGAGATCCCGTCGAAGCATCTCCAAACGCGGATGCACCCGCAGGAAAACTGCAACAGCATCTTACTTTTCTTGATCCAGCAAAATGGCCTGGGGGGTTGAAACAGGAAACGGTAGCAAAGAGGTTTCCTGGTCTGCGGACATCCCCGGGGCTACGTTGATGACCATACAGTGAATTCATTCTGTGGCCGCGCTCTCAGGGCCAGGCTGCAGCCAGCTTCCCCTTCTTCCTGCGATGTTGAGTAGCCGCCCTATGCCCTCCCTTGCCCAATGGAATGCCTGACATGTCTACTTGCTCATCCGTTGCCGAATGCTCACTGTTGCGGAATCCGTCTCCGTCTCTGAAAATAGCACCAAACAGTTCCGAAATAGACAACGTGAGTCCCTCGAGAGCTGCGATGCGTTCGGTGTCTGCGTCAGAGGTGATCTGCAGGAGACCCTGTTGTTGGTTGACTCGACCGTTGATCTTTCCATCAACGATCAAGAACCCCAGAATGTCTTGTACCTCGGGCTCGGAGATCTTGAGCTGCTTGGCGATCCAGGATAACTTCATGCGTGTGTAAGGTGCGATAAGCTTTATAACACCCTTGGTTCGCATGTTTCGCGTGACTTCATCGATATTCTCGGCAATGAATGGATCATCTAGGATGTCCTGGTTACGCTGCAGGACCTTTTCGTACGCGTGTACATCATCCCGCTGGTAAGCGTCGACCAGATCTGTCATTGCGGAGATTCGCGGATCTGTCTTGTACGGCTTGGTCTCCTGTGAGTCGAAGGGGTTGATGTCGGACTTCATCAGCATTGTTGTCAAGAGCAGATACTTGAGAACTTGGATTCGCTGGAGAGAACCTGCTTCGTCGTAGTTGCGGAACGATTCGAAAAAGTCGCTCTGCGCTTCCTTCCAGTTCTCTTCGCTCATGTGCATCTTTCCACCACACTCTCTGATGATTCCCATGATTCTGGGATGTGGTACCGCGGATTTGACTTTGAGAGCTCTTTGATACAGGGCCTTGAGTTGCTTATTATTCTTGGTCTCTGCAAACATCTGGATCTCAAGTGCGTAAATCTCTAGTGAATATGTGCCCTTGCTAGGGTCGTCGGTACCGTCTTCTTGCTGACAGGTCTTGTGGAGCTCTCGGAGCTTCTTTGCTACAGCGCCGTACTCCTTTCGATCGAGAAGTAGCTTTGCAAGCTTGATGTTGGTCTTGAGCCATAGGCGCTCGTTGTTGGTGCTCTGGAAGCTCTGCAGCGTGAGGGAGTAGAATTGCTCCATGCACTTCACCGCCTCTGGGCCATCTGCTCCCTTTTCGATGTAGTCGAGCATGTTGTTGATGGACTTCTCGGAGTAGTTGCGCGTGACGGCCGACTTGACGTAGGTGAGGAGTTCGGCGTAATGCTCAGCAGCCTATCGTTGTCAGCGATGTCCTTGTTCTTCGAACAAAGCCCCTACCTTATCATATTGAGCCAGCTTGAACTCAAGCTTTATGGCCTGCTTCACACCTTTGAATCCCCATTCTCCTTTCTCTTCTTCGAGTGGCGGAATGCCTAGGAATTCTGCGATCGCATCTTCGGGGTCTGAAAGCTTGAGCTGCTTGGCGTTGTAGTATTTGTTTTCGATATCGACGTCGGCGGTCTCCTCGTCATCGTCTTCTTCGTACTCGAAGTCGTACCTGGGCGTAATTAGTGATGCACTGCGTGTGCGCGGCTGATCTTGCGTACTGCTCCTCATCCGACTCCTGCATGAAATCCTCGTCATCCGACATGGTGAAAGAGATGTGGTCGAGCGATCAAACAATATTATCTGTTAAGATTGAGACACAAAAAGCTTATCTGGGTCGGAAGCTTGAGGGATGTCAGACAGTAATTATTGAGATGATGATGAATGTTGATTGAAGGTCAACTTCCAGAAGCTGGGGTGGAGTAGGCAACCGCGGGGCCGCTTATCGATAAGGTGGAGCTCCAGTGCGACACCATGGCTTGCATGGCAGTGAGATGCATGTGCAATTACTGAATACTTGAGTACTTAACAATTACTTGCTCGTATATTGCAATGTCTAAGTATTCTAAAAACAAATGAAACATCGCAAGATCATATAACTCCAGACGCCCTTGTTGTCTTATGTATCCCACCAAGCACCAAGCTCAACCCTCGTGAGCCTGCGCAATACCTGAAGCTGGTAGCTTCACGATAAACAGCATTACAGCCGTCGCTATGGCCATAAGACTGGTTACCATGAATGGCAATCCCATCCACTGACCACCCAACTCAAAACCGCGACCCAAGAGCCAGCTCATTGCGGGCGCAGTCAACCCCATGATGACTTCAATAAGAGAGATGGTAGTGTTCAAGGTAGCGATGGTATGCGGTTCAACCAGAGCATTGATCAATGCTCTGCTGAGTGCCACGAAAGAGTTGCCAATGCTGACAGTGATAAGAGAAATGACAAACAGCCATGGCACTGAAGCAACACCCATCAGCAAACACCCGGCTGCCATGATTGTAATGGTAATGCGCGCGAGGAGTAAATCCCTTGCAACGGGGCGTGATTTGTAGCGACGACTCTTGTTGAGGAAGTCGGATGTGACCGGGAGAATTATGAGGTAGCACACGACTGTTGCGACGATTCCAATTGTCGAGATGTATGTTGCCTGTCAAAATGTTAGTGGACGAAACGCAGTCTTGATGAAGGGGCTGACCTTGGACCATGACCAATCGAAGCGTTTACTAATGTACTGCAACAACACTCCCGCAAGTACAGTTCTAACAGGGAAGAAGAATGCAATGGCCAGCATGAGCATCATGATATTCTTGTCCGCAACGATAAACCGCCAAACATGCTGCATGTCATTCTGAATGCTGAACCAAGCCTGCTTCAACACATTATGCTTCCTCAAAGAAACACCATGAAGTTGTTCATTCTCATGCTCTTCATTATGTCTCTTATCGTCCTTGCGTCGAAGATGCATCGTCTCGGGGATGAGGAGAATGCACATCGTCCCAAATACCATGGAGCCAAAGCCGATCCACATGGATAACCAGGGGTCGAACTGGAGTAGCCATGCGGATATGGGGTTGAAGATGACATTGAAGATTAGGACTAGGGCGACGAGGCGGAAGAACATGTCTGTTCGTTCGGAGACGGGGACTACGTCGGCGACGATGGTGTAGACCATTGCTACGGCCATTTGACCTCCACCTCCGATGAGGAAGAAGATATCACCGCCGAGGATGGCCCAGATTGAAAAGATGTTTGGGAACGACACTGAGATTGTGAGTAGGTGTCACGAAATGGGTTAGGTGCACTTACGGACTAATAAGAGCCAAGCTGTTGAGAGACAGCATCCGAGCATGGCTAGAAACAAAACAAGCCGTCTTCCATATTTATCAGCAACAATACCATACGGGAACTGCGTCAAGATCGCTAGCACACGTAAGCGAATATCCTTCAAGATCACTTCATTCACTTACGAACTCCCATCTCCAAGGCCTGGTCCCATCCCTGGACCATAGCCAACGTCTTCTGCACAGGAGTATCTTTACAGCGATAGTCATCTGTATCAAATGCGCCGATTAAATGATCGGGATAGTGCTGTCGACAGATGATATCCTCGGTGATCTTCTTGGTCGGAGGATTCATGATGAACTGGCTCACTTCAACCATGAGAAGAGCCAGCATGCCCATAGCCAAAGCGCGTCGTCTCAACGACTTGGACGGCTCATCATCTTCCTGCGTGCCACTTGGCAGCAAAGGCGACTGCTCCGTCGGCCCTTCATCCCTCTCAATCCCATGGTTGCTCTCAACATCCGTATCATAGACGTTATCGTCCGTAAGTTTCGCTTGCGCCGCCATGTTTCACGACGCGCTTGGAGTGGTTAAGGAGTGAATATCGCGACGCTCAAATCGCAGGCCACAACAGAATATTATAACATGCTTAGAAAGGAATGACGATAAGGGAATAGGAAACGCGCCATCATAAGATTCAAGTTTAGGTTGTCCCTGGAACTTTTGCGACAAATCGTCGGGAGCTAATTGGTCTAGAGCGCGGTGACGTCGTCGCTGACCTGGAGAGATTACTCCGCCTTATCGTGGCGCTGGCCAATGAGATGTTTGGCCCTGAAACGGGTTGGCTTGATTGAGGCGGACACGCAAGCGACACCACGAGGTGCTTACGACAGTCAGAGATTACATTGGGTTTAAGCTTCTTTGATAGGAAGGTCTGAACTCAATTCGTAGTGATTACGGCCACGTCTTGTTAAATGTCGACGTATGTCCTACGATTGCTTACTCTACGTCAAGTTGACAACAAATGCGGGGAGACTCGGCCGAGGGTGTCCGGGAACTTGGATCGGCGATCTGATGGCATTAATGGGTCTCGGTCCGGAGCGGATCCCGTGGACACCGTGGACGGATCCGACGAGGCCGGTAGCCCACTTGGTTCAGCCTGGTAAGGCGCCGTTGAGATCTAGTCCTTGGGGGAGTTTCTGTGACGTGAGGGATACTCCAGGTTTCAACTGTCCATGCATGTGTGGATCTTGATCAGTAGGCGGTTGGCTTCTGCATACTGGCCCTGATCTGGCCCTCGATCTCAAGATCTGACACAAGTCGCGTGACCAAGGTAATGATGGTGAGAATGTCGGCTTTCACGATGGCTGTACTTTGTAACATGCCTGGCCATCATGTTGAACCAGGAGGTCGCGTTGTTCTCCTGCGTCGCAGAAAATGATCCTGGTCAGGGCGCTAACCACCTGCAATATCCACCGCCAGACATTGGATGAAACTACTGTTTCCTCAACTTCATCGAACCTCAGCCAGGTTCCTTAGCCCGTGAATCAGCCTCGATTCGATGGCTGCCAAAGATCCAGGGTTCCAGACTCAATGTCTTGATATCATTCGCGGGATCAAGGCCGCGCATGAGAAGCAGAATGATCTTCTTGAGAAATTGGTGACGCTTATGGCTACACCAGTTGAACTGAAAGCCCAGCAACGCGAAGAGAAATGCCTTGAAGAGATTGATGAAGTTCTTGTACAAGGGGATAAACTCAACCTCGATGAAGGAGTGTCATCGGATCTCAGCGTTGCGGCGCAAAAAGACACCAATTTGAGCAACATCCTTCGCTTCGCATCTCATTCTTACAAGAAAAGGCTTCAGCTCTTTGAGACTAGTCAAGATGGACCACAGCCATTCACTCTCAGCTCTCAACCACCTCCCTCGCAATCTTCGTACACACTGCCCCAGCAGTTAGAGTACATTCCCCAACGCCCAGAAGATGGAGACGTCGTTGTCAATGCCACTCAATCTTGGAACTACTGTACGTATCTCCACTCATCACCAACATCCTAATTAACAATTCCCTTGAACAGGGTACCCACGCGATCATGAGACACAATCCTCCAGAAACAAATCCATCAGCCCAGTACCGGACTTCATGCCACCATGGCAACTTACCCGCGGAGAAAACGAAAAGTGGTATCACATCGACGACATAGACTTGCAATTTCCCCTAACCGCACCAGACACGCTATCACCAGTGGTAGGAACATACTTCGAAGTTCCTTACTCCTTCTTTCCGGGACTGCGGAACCTGAACATGGCATATACGCGACGTCAAGGAATTACGTACGGTGGTTCGGGCGATTACTTGATCGAGACTGCACTTACAGAGGCACATCGATACAAGATTCGTCAGTCTCTTGGGGAGTTTTACGCTGTGCCGCAGGATGGTCGTCTTCCTTTGTCATTTCATACGAGTGAGCTTCGCATGCAGGTTCGTCATCGACGGACGCGGAATGATATCGATCGCAGTCTCGATAAATATCTCGAGCCTACGCGTGAACTACTTAGTAAACTTCATTGGTTTACTATCATTGACCTCACGGCACCTGGGGGCTCTCAAAATGCCGTATATAGTCTGCGAACCAAATCAACTCCCTTCCAACATGACTCTCCACCATTGCGTGTTGAGGGGCCGCCGTGTTGGGAGATGATCCAAGCCTCGCTTCAGAGAGAAGGCAATGGGTTTGTATCATACCCCTCAGTCATACAAGATCACCCAACGCAGCCGATCCATCGCGAAGGACGGTGGTGTCGCGTGATTCAGCTTGACGGCCTCGCAAACATCACCGCTGGTCTCATGGAGGAGAAATGTACCCGGTATAACTCGATGACCGTCTGGAAGCTTCTCTTCCAAGATAACCAGCTTAATGCAAGCAAGGGCCGGGCATTTCGTGCCACTATCAATCAGCATCTGCTCTGCAGACCGTCTGCAAAGGATTTACATGGCTCCGAAAACGTTCCGTGGAGGTCCTTTCACATTTCGTGGTATCAGCTTTGCACACAGCCTACTGATGCAGCTGTTAAGCAATCGACGTGGAACTATGGTCGTCTTTACGGAGAGAAGGGGCCGTACATCAAACAACAGGCTTTCACTTTGGGGTGTGCTTATCAAGAGTTTCCCGGAGCTGATGCTAAGCGTGACTCTTTCTGGACGGTCTTGATCATGAAGCCGTCCACTGCTGATTTTGATCCATATGATGTGCACAAAGTCCCGCGACGAACATACCCGCCTCAGAGTGATGGTCGGCAATACCGTTCAGAAGATATCATCCTCGATGCTATTCGAACGAATTTACAAAAAGCAGGTAATGCATGGAGTCGAATGCAAGTAGCCCTCGACACAATCGTCGATCACGACCCTCTATTTCTCGACCCCGTCCAGCACGACAATCTTTTATTCGACGACGACACGTTTTCAAGATCAAGGCAATACTTTTGGATCGTCAGTTGTCTCGAGTCTTTTCTTATTCTTATTGATGATGCTATAGAGGAGTGGAGGAGGTTTCGTGTAGATTGGCCTCATATGCTTATGGAGATTGATCCAGCGGAGGAGTCACGAACGGAGGAGACACCAGAGGCTTTGACACGAAGAGTTGTGGGGGAGATTGAGGCGCAAGTTGATCGATTGAGGATCATATCTGCTCGTTTCGAGGCAAGTCGTGACAAGACGAAAGCTCTCAGAGAAGGCGTACGTATCCCTCAGCAGCTAGACTACGCCTAACATACTGACATATCTCGCAGCTCTTCAGCGCCAGTGGCGTGATCGAAAGCCGTGTCTCAACTCGTCTAGGAGAAAACGTCAAACTCCTCACATACGTCAGCATCTTCTACCTCCCACTAAGTTTCTGCGTCGCCCTCTGGAGTATAAACGAAGACTATCCCCGACCAATGCTAGCATTAACAGCAGTTCTCGTCGCAGCTGTGACGTTCATCGTCGTAGCTAACATGAGAAACATGGCTTCTGTATGTGCTGTTGCATATCGCGGTGTTAAGAGACGGATCGTGAGACGGATGCGTGGGAGTGAGGATGAGAAATGGGTTAAAAGAGCGACGGCTTTTGAGAGCTATAGACCTGAAAGGATGGAGGTTGAACCGTCGGAGTGGTATATCTTGTACTTCTTCGTATACTCCCTGTTCAGCCGGGCAGGTTCTTGGGTAAATAAGCAGAGACGGAAAGTGAGGAATATGTTTAGTTCGTCGGAGAGAGAGGCAAGTCCTGTTAAGCAGAGTCCAGCGGTGGGAAGTGAGCCGTGGGCAACTCCAAGTTCATGGTGAGGCAAGAAAACTATCCTAAGACTTAGGTAAAGTTAGTGAATCCTAGATTGGGCTATTCTAATATCTTGGTCTAATCAACAGGAAGTCTTCATGCTATAGAGGGGCTCTCTCGGTGTCCGTAGGACGTCGAGATCTTTCTGGAAAAGGTTTTCCTTTATCCTTGTTTCATGTCGTCAACACAGCCTCGAAGGAGTGAGACGCACTGCCTTTCCGTGGTTCATTTTCCATGGATCAAGAGCGATCAGCTTATGCAAATCCTCCGGAGCAGCCTTGTTTGGTCAATTGGGGAATCTTGAGTCTTGAGGATTTCCTTAGCTTGCTTTTGGACACAGCGGTGCATCTCAACAGTTGACTCCAAGCGAGAATGCCTCAGAAGGCTAAGTTTTGGATCGCCAAGTTTAAAACATTAGTGCAATCTTTATCTAATAAGCCTCTGTTTCAGTCTCGAACGCTTCCAACGATGGACTCTTAATCTCAATGTAAATACGCGGGACTTCGGACTCTCCCGCTCAGCTCAGCCCCCAAACCCATCCATGATCATCGTCACGATCTACCAATCACACAAACCTCACAGCGAGCAAGCTCATCGTCACCGTTACATCTCTCCAATCTTATATGGGTGCATGGAGACTCAGGAGTATTTTCGCCTTACAACCCCTGTCAGAATGTAAGCTCGTGGGTCTTCCCGCTCCTGAGCTTAATTTCCTCGACAGGGTATCTGATCCTCGAGGCCCATCGAGCCTATCACACGCAACTCGTCATCTTAGCAGCGACGTATATCGTTCAATCATGTTTGATCCTATGATCATGCAGGAGAATTGGAAATGGTTAAAAATACTTGGAAAGGAGGATATATAAGGTCGGTAGATCAGCTTAGAATAGTATCTTCATCCAGATATCATCACTCATCATGTCTTCTACCAAGTCCCTCCTCGCTTCTATCCTCGCCATCGCTCCTTTGGCTCTGGCTCAAGATCCATCATGCGATTGCTACGTTACCAAGGGCGATAGTCCCCAGTACTACACAAGCCATTCCTTCTTTGACTTCCGTTCCCTCTCCCAGTACGCTGGTGTTCCTCCTCTCATCGACACAATCCAAGGCAACGCCGACGCAGACTTTTCTTCAGATTTCTTTAACTGGGAGTCTGAGTTTGCTCAAACCTGGGGTCCTCAGAAATGGAACAATGGAAACGAAGAATTCCCTATGCAGAATACTTACAACAATCTGTACATTGAGGAGAACAACGATGTCTCTCCTGCGAGTGATACGTGGTTGACTATGAGAACCGCTCGTCACAATGGCTTCCAGACTGCTTCCGAGTTTGAGTCCCTTGAAAAACATCAATACGTCTCGCTGAGAATGTACGCTCGTACCAAGGGTTCACCCGGTGCCTGCACAGCAATGTTCACCTATCTCAACGGCGGCTCCCTCGCCCTTGTCCAAGAAGCAGACATCGAAGTCCTCACCAAAGACGATCCCACAATAATCCACTACACAAACCAACCATCCTACACCGACGAGGGCGGCGAAGTCGAGGGCGCTCACCTAGCAGCCACACTGCCCGACGGTCTCAAGTGGACGGACTGGGCAAAGCACACTATTGACTGGACGCCCGAGGCTACGATCTGGAAGGTCAATGATAAAGAGACCTGGCGTAATGCGTTCCAGGTTCCTAGAGATCCGGCGCAGTTAAGCTTTAATGCCTGGAGTAATGGGGATACGTGGACGGGTACTATTCCGGAGGGCGGTGCGGCGTATCAGCAGATTCAGTGGATTGAAGTCTTGCATGGACGTACGGATGAGGGTGCTTGTAACAAGGTTTGTAGTGTTGATGAGGGTGAGGCTGGAAAGGCTGTGCCTGTTTAGAAGACGGCATGCTTTCTGGTGATCCTACATCAACCTTTCCTGTACATAATTGAGTATAATAGAGGACAGTCCATCGACATGCTCATTCGAATCATAACTTTTCGTTCTATAGTCTATCAGTCGATGATCATCTACAGCTTAAACCTCTGCGCCAACAAGATCCCCTCCGCCAAAGTCCCAACCCTCGCATCAATCGCACAGCCCTCCTTCTCCCACGTCTCACACATCCCCCACAAATCCGTCAATTTCACCGTAAAAACCTCAATAAACTCGCCCTCCTCCAACTCCGGCTTCAAGTCCTTATTCGCAGGCAAGTCCATATCAACACTGACATGCACCATCTTCAAGTTCGTGTTGCAAAACCCCGGGTCATTAAACATCATGGGCGACGTCTCAGTGGCGACGCCGACGTAGCCCGTCTCCTCGCGGAGTTCGCGGATGGCGCATTCTTCGGGTGTCTCGCCCTCGTCGATCAGCCCGGCTGGTACTTCGATGGTGACGGCATCGATGGGAGGGCGGTATTGTTTCTGGAGGATGAGTTCGGGGCCCGTGCGGAGGGGCAGGATGGCTACGATGCCGACGCCGTCGATGTCGGCGGTCTTGGGACGTGTGAGACGCTCGGCTGATTCCCAGGTCCGGAGTGTCCCTGTTGGATCACGGTATGTGATTCTGATATTCATGTTAGAGGTGAAGGGCGAGAGGCAAGTGAGCATACTTGGAGAGTTTGATCCAGCGAGCTTCCTCTTTAGACTGAGATTGTTAGCGGATGTTGGTAAATTTCAGGGGAAATACTTACGAGGGGCTCAGTAGAAGTCACTTTTGCATTGAAGACAGACATTTTGAGTGAGTTGGGGAGAGAACTTTGTCTGTTTGTTGTGTTGTGTGTTGAGAAGTTGCGATGAGTTAGCTAGAGGAAGAAAACTCAAGACCTTGGTCCCAAATGATAAAAAGACTAAAGGAAGATTTTATAAACTTGGGACATATTTATTCGGTTTAGGATATCTTTATCAAGTTTATTTTAATACCTTATATCGAGGTCTGGCATTTTCTTGCTCCCCAAGGCCACCGCCCTGCCGAAGTCGGTGAGAAGATGTGCAACGTCACACAAACTACCTACCCTGAAGCTGCGTAAGTCATGCGATGAATCACCAATTGCATGTCTATCGCTGGTGATTGAACCTTAAATAATGAATATAGTTGTTCTTATTGGTCTTTTTCTGCTATCGTAGTGACTCAGGGCAGGTTTTAGCTGAAGATAAGTCGACTCATCAGTGATTAGAGATATCTCAATATGCACTTGTTATAAACCCGCGACCGGGTTTTCAGCTTCATGCACTGTTGTCTCCGAGGATGCATGTCTCAGTTGGACTCAATGCTTCTTTCGATTATTGGGTATTTATCCTTATCCAGCCTATGACCTGCTCAACAGCGACAGCCTCAACGCATTCTATCTCGCATGCTTCGGAGTCGGTGACAGCCTCACCCAAGACCTCCATGGCGATATCTCTACAACTTCCCCTCCTCCTTCAGCCCCCTCCAAAGAGCCAAAGCAGCCAAACACTTCGCATCCCTCGCCCCCTCCCTCCAAGCATCCTTCATCGGAACAACCTTCAACGTAATCTTCTCCCCATGCTCCCTCAACCCCGTCAACCGTCCACTCCACTCCTTAATCTTCTCCCTTTCAATCCTCATCTCATAGCTAAATATCGTAATATACTCATCACAACCCCCAGCACTGGGAAACATACCCCTCGCAATATCTTCACCATCCTCAGTAGTAGCAAGTTCACTTAAATTCGTAAGCTCTTCTTCTTTTATCGTGACGCCCAGCTCTTCCTTGATCTCTTGCGCTGCTGCTCCGGCAAAACTACCCGCGTCGTCGACCATGCCCGCTGGTAGTTCGGTGAAGCTGAGACTGCCGGCGGGAACGCGGGGTTGTACTGTGAGGACGACGTAGCGCTCTGATGATGAGGGGGGGACGTCGGAGGGGATGAGCATGAAGAGCATTGCTACGCTGGGACCGCGGAGGAGTGCGGCTGCTGGGAGGGTTTCGCCTGAGTCATTGGAGACTGTTGCTGTGAGTTTTATGAAACCGATGCGTTTGGAACCGAAGAGATCGTAGGATTGAATTGTGACTGAGCGGAGAGCGTAGGGGTCTTTGTGGAAGGGGTGAGATTCATCGGATTGAAGACGGAGTGAGTTTGTGAGTGTGTCGACCCATTTCTGAGAGCATTAGCAAGATGAAGGAACATGGGTTGAGAAAACTCACGGTAAATGGTTTAAATGAAGTGAGTTGTTCTTCTGTGAGGCCATTGGGAAGACTGAGAGGGATGTTATGACTCTTGAGTGTCGTAGACATTGTGCGCGTGAAGTGGTGAAGAGATGGGTTTTGGTGAACGAGACAGGTTGCTGAGAGTAAGAATCTTGGATTTTTGCAGACGTTGGCAATGAATCTCATTTCTCGTGCCTAAATTTGGAGACAGCTTGGGATTGGTGGGAGTCTATTGAAGATTAGGTTGAGATGGTGTTGTGGGAGGGCTGAGTGAGTGAATGACGTAGAGCGCTGCCCCGCGATCATGACATGAGGCTGAAACACTAAGTAAAGGGAACTGAACTGAGTACATTCACATACGAAATGGCAGCTTGTCCCTTCGCAAAGGTCAGGTATTACGCAGTAGGTATACTCGTTGATTCATTTCCCATTTGTAAGGCTGTACGTAAAGCGACTAATCATAACTCATACTCCATCTCTCATTCATACGCATCCCAATAGGCCACCGGTCAAACCGCCCAGTAAACATCAATCTTGACCTTCTCAATATGATTAACCCACCCTCCAAACCTCGCCTTCGCCCAAACCGTAACAACATCCCCCATCTTCAAATCCCTCACAAACCACCCATCGCCCGTCTCCTCGCCCCGTCCCTCCTCAGTCTTCATCCTGACAGCAGCCTCAGAGTCAGGCTTGGCATCGTCGTCCCACGCCCACGTAATCACATGGTCTTGCCAGGCGCGGTGCGCTGTCTTGTTGCGGACGATGGTCCATTTCTCTTGGTGGGCGAGGGGGTGCGAG